GGCTCATGGTTAACCTGTCATCCACCAGGACACCCAGGTCCCTCTCCACAGAGCTGCTCTCCAGCAGCTCCGCCCCAAGCCTGTACTGATGCATGGGGTTGTTCCTCCCCAGGTGCAGGACCCTGCACTTGCCTTTGTTGAACTTCATCAGGTTGCTCTCTGCCCAACTTTCCAGCCTATCCAGGTCACGCTGAATGGCAGCACAGCCTACTGGTGTGTCTACCACACCTCCCAGTTTGGTGTCATCAGCAAACTTGCTGAGGGTACACTCTAATTCTTCATCCAGCTCATTGATGAAGAAGTTAAACAAAACTGGGCCCAGTACTGACCCCTGAGGGACACCACTAGTTACCGGCCTAAATTCACAGTTATAAAATGTTTTAGCTAGATGTGAGGTCTGCTTTAATAACAGTCAGTAATGATTACATAATTTAAAATTTGCTGTATTCCTTTTTCTATGTTATTTTGTGATGAATAGCTCCAGGCGCGGAGTGGGGGGGGGGGGGGGGAATATCTTGTGATTTCAGCATTCTGCTGATTGCCTTTTGCTAAATAGCCTTCTCAATATCCTGCCAAGGGAGTCCTGATAACTCCAGAAGTCAATATGCAAACTACAACCATAAATTCAGAGGTGTTATTCACAGACAGGAGAACAGAGACACTCATAGAGCCAAAATCTTTGAAACAGATGCTATTGTACTTTGTAAAGGTCCTAAGAGTGCTGGATCATAGTACAATTTGCCGTAATTGTAGATTTTTAGCAAGTGGTATGTAAGGACAGTGAGTGCTGCAATGCAAGATGCAAAAAACCCCCCCTGTTCAGCACACAATGTATAGCAATCAGTTGTGCAGCTCAGGAGAACTATGCGTCAAAGTAGTATTGAACTAACAAGGATGGGAAACAAAGAGAACTGTCTCTTACTTTAATGTTATTAACTGAACTTTGTGCAAAGAACCAGAAGACTGAAAAGGAAATAGCCTTTTTATTGCATAGCCTGCCCCATTACTGACAAACACTGCTACGTCTGCAGTTCCCTGCCAGCCAGGATGGCTAAACCCCAGTTTGCAGCTGGCCGTTGCAAGCTGCAGGGTGAGGCTGCAGCCAGGGACCGGCGTGCCTGGCAAGTCCCAGCTGCCGTCCTGGCCCTGGCGCAACTCTGCAGCCTCCCTGGTGTGACAGCGGGGAGGACCTGCATGCACATTTTGGGGAGTGCAGCCGTTGCTGTGGAGGCAGATGGGGCTCCACGGGGTCTCAAAGCGCTTCTGGTGCTGGGTGTTCAGGGGCCTGCACAGGGGCAAGAAAAGCAGCAGGGAGATGGGGATGGAGAGTGTGGGCAATGCTGAAGTTCAGTGCAATGGTTTGGAGGTCCAGAGCATGTCTTATATTTGGACATGAGAGATGGAAGAGGAAGAGAGGCTTAGGAAATGAGGATTTTCACAGGAATATCTTTGTGCTTTGTGGAGTATAGTTGCCTAAATCAGAACAGCAAATGAAACTTTGATCAGGACAATATACACAAAGGAGGAAGTCATGAATGCATGGCTGGTGATAGAAACTCCTTGTTTCCAGCCTCTGAGCTCCCTTCCCACACAAACATGCCAGCTATGCTATTGCAATGACAAAGGCGCTGCTCACACATCAAAAAAAGATCAGTCCTTTCTCTGTCTACCCCTACCATGTCATGCTCTTTAGAGACGTTTTATCTCATTTCTGAGGTTCCAAAATAACTCCTATGGAAAGCAATGTGTGGGGGAGGGGGCAAGGGGAAAGGAGGGAAGAGGACTCCCCATCCATCTGAGTCGGAGAAAATAGAGAGGATACAATAATGGTCTCAAAGGTAATAGAGTTAGTAGCATTTCTGGTGGGCTGTCCAAAGAAAACACAACTCTGCTATTCTGGCTTAACAGTAGGCTTATTCCAAAAAAAACAGTAGGTTGAAATAACCAGAACAGATAGGCAGGTATGAAGCAAAGCTGGCTTAATCTATTTTGCACAAGCCATTGACATTTATTCTGTTTGTACATCAGTTTAGCGCAGCACAGACATGTCCTTACATGTCCTTTGTTGTTGCAGTTCCCTGGACATACCAGGACCTCAGACTGAAATGGCATATGCCATCAGCTAGGCAAAACCAGTAAAGGAATGATGATGATCATGAGGAAATCATGAGATGCTGTACTACTGAGTTTGGCATTTCCACTGGTTGTATACCCGCCGAGTGAGCATTACAGCTATTAACTTAGATCCCAAGAACAAGATCTAAGCAAACTTTGTGTTCAGATTCTTTTTAGATTTGTATTGCAGAAGTCTTTTTCTCCCCATACCTACAGTGCGTCTCATTATGTCCACCCAGCTCTGTTTGTGGGAAGAGGAATCTGAAGATTTGATCTGACAAAAATAGGGGACACACGAGGTGACATTTTAGTTTTTATTGCCAGGTTCATTGCACTAGAAGTCAATTTTAAAATGCCTGCAGCCCTCTCAAAACTTCTCTTTAGGAAACTATCCCTGTGCATAATACTGAAAATCAGAAAATGTTTTCTTTAAAATTACAAAAACAGACTTTTTGGAAGACATTACATGCAGTAGATCTTTTTATTACAGATTCTAAATAGGATAT